GTGACCCCTATGTGGGCTACGTGTGTCCTTCTGTTGTGGCCTGTTTGCTCTCCCTGTAGGCGCCCAGGGAGGCCCAGTTATGCTCCTGGTCAGCTGTTGTAATGCTCAGCTGCTTGTAGTTGTTGTGGGCCCTTCAGTCTCTTTATCAGGTGTGGGGAGCCCCAGCACAGTTGGATGCAAGTTCTAATACCACATTTGTGTTGAAGTCTTTCTTTTAAGTGAGTAAGCCCCCAGTGTGGTAGGTTGTTAGGCTCAGAGGCTTACAATTGCTATAAGCCTCCAGCCTTTAGGTCTCTTGTCAGTTCTCTGAGGATTGCAGCTGGGTGGGGCTGGCCTCAGGCACAGGAGCACCCAATTGTTTCAAGATTTGGAAGGTGGGGCAAACCCCCTATGTGGGTCTTTGAGCAGCACAAGTCTTCTGCAGCTGACAAGTCCTGCTGCCCACAGGTCCACACCCATAGTCAACACAGTCCTGCCCCGTGTGCGTGCCCCAACCTCCCGAAGTGGACCCAGTCTCTCCATGGCGGGAGCCCCACATACTCCACCACTACCCCACACTCTCCACCCACTCCTTGTGCACGTCCTGCCCCGCTGAAGTCGGCTCAGTTGTCAGGCTGCAGAGAATCCAGTCACCAATCCATGCAGGCCCACAAGTTGCCTGAGGGCTTGTTGTTGGGTGCGGCCAGTCTCTAGGGTGGGCTGCCTGCCCTGGCTGAGCTGGATTAAATGGGTGCTCTAGCATGTGAGGCAGACCCTGGGCTAGCAGGCCTCAGGGAGAACTCCAATGGTGTCTGTGTCAGCAGGCCCACACCAGGCCACAACAGTGGCCACTGCCAATGTCCCAGCCCCTGGAGAGGTCTCACCCTGCACCGAGATGCACTCAGGGCCTAGTAGATGAGTCTCTTTTCACCACAGCACTGTGCACTTTTCTTTCTGGTTATTTTAGGTTGCTTTCTGAAACAGGTGAGTTTGCGCGTGGGCCCTGTAAGAGCCAGTTTTAATTTCTTTGTGTACCAGCTTTTCTGGGGGTACTCCCCAATGTTTTAATAGCAGTCAAAGTCAGATATTATGCCACTCGTCTCGATTGTGCTGGGTCCACAAAATGCCCGCAGTGGGGGCACTCCCCAGCTCAGGGCCCCGCTCCTCCAGGGAGGCTGCATACCTGTGCGCTGCTCTGGGGCTGCTGTGAAGCACTGTGGCTTGTGAAGGCAGCGCTTTTTCCTCTCCAGAAGGGAGTTTCTGCCTCTTCCACCTCAATTAGGATTGTCCGTTGTTGCAGGAGTTCCTCTTATCCAGTTTTCAGTTCTGTCTCAGGGGTAGTTTTTCCACGAGTAGTTGTAAATTGGCCGTGTCTGAGGGAGGAGGTGAGTTCAGTTTCTGCCTACACCGCCATCTTGACTTCCTCCGCTCCACAGCCACTTTTAATGAAACATCCTCTCAGAATCCTTCTTCAGTGCCTTCATTTGGATGTAACTTTGTACTCCTCGAAAGATCACAGTTCCAAAATAGAACACTGACTCAGTCTCCTCACTTTCTTTTTCATGTAGTTGGGATTTTGTGGAATGTTTTGGTAATCTCAATTTGATGCAATGAGTCATATAGTTAAAAATGCTATTTTTCTACTACCTAGTAATTTGTACAACATAAATCACAGTTCCAAGACTGAGGCTTAGAGATGGAGTAAGACTCAAAAATAGGGTGAGTTTTAGTGATAGGGTGACAGTACTGCTTGGAATATGACTCGGCAATTAAAAAAAAGTTAATATTTATATTTTAGACCATGTCAAAATGCCCTACATTAAAAAGGCTGCATCAAAGTATCATGCAATAGACAGCATTTTAACTCAAGTGAGGAGAAGGAAGAGAGAGGAGAAGAGGAGGGGAAGAAAAAGGATGGGGGGAATAAGAGGAGGAGAGGAGTAGTAATGATGTATGTTTAGTGCTTACTATATGACAGATACTCTTTTAAGCACATACTTACTCATTTAATGTCTTGACTCATTTAATCCTAATAAAAATTCTATAAATTAGATAGTGCCATTATCCCATCCACCTTTGAGGAAATCAAGGTCCAGAGAAGCTAAATAACTTTCCTAAGTTTACACAGCTTATTACTGGTAGAGTCAGGAGAATAACTAATAGCAACTAAATTTCGAAAGATATTACATATATATATGTGTGTGTGTGTGTATTTTATTTTTTTATTTTTATTTTTTTTAATTTTTTGTTTATTGCAGTAACATTGGTTTATAACATTGTAAAAATTTCAGGTGTACATCATTGTACTTCTATTTCTGCATAGATTACATCATGTTCACCACCAAAATACTAATTACAACCCATCACCACACGCATGTACCGAATTATCCCTTTCACCCTCCTCCCTCCCCCCTTCCCCTCTGGTAACCACCAATCCAATCTCTGTCCCTATGTGTGTATTTTAAAATGTGCTTCCTCATCTAAAGTGAAACTAATGGCTAGAATTCATCAAGGTGTAAGAAAGTGAACTGAAAAGTTCAGAAAGTGCCCCATCTGCCTTCTGCCAGTCTCGTCCTCCCTTGGAATTGGTGAGGACTTTAGTGAAGGTGACACCAATGAAGAGACACTGAAGAGGGCCTGGACCATTAGCATAGATCTTGCCACTCTTGTTTCTGAATCTCCTCCAGCTCTTCTCATTCCTGGCTGTTTCTTGTTTGTCTCTCTAGGCTAAGATATCTTCCATGATGTTCCCATTGAAAAGTGCCCAGATGCTGCAGACGCTGGAGAAATCCTTGAGGAAGAGCCTTCCTGTATCCTTAAAGGTGACAATGGAAAATTTTGAGGGGAGTAAGGAATAGAAACTTCCTGTGAGAGAAGAGGAAAAGAGACTAACATTTACTGAGTACCTATTCTGTGCCAGGCACTATAGCATGTTTTCTCTCATTTAATTTGCATTACCTCTCTACAAGATATTTGCTATTATGTCCTTGTCACTGATGAGAAGACGACCGAGGCTTAGTTAAGTGACTTGCCCAAAATCACACAAATAGTGAGTTGCAATCCTATGGTGTGAACATAGGTATGCCTGAGACCTAAAACTGCCTTTTGCTCTGTGCTGATTCAAAAAGTATTCCCTTGCTGCTTTCCAAGAAACATTCTATAACCGCACTGGAAATTTGCCCAGACTTCCCCTATAAAGTTGGCTGAAAATGCATATTAATGTTTAATTCGTTCTTCCTCAAAGAAGACTTACTGGGTGAGAGGTTAACCATCATGAGTCTTCTTTGAAATTAATGAGAAGTCAATTCCTATATTGACTTAAATTTCCCAATTGCTCTGAAATTATTGCATTAGGCTATTTTGTGGCTGCCTCCCAGTATCTCCCTTAACCTAGGAAAATTGATCAGAAATCTCAGGATTAAATAAAACATTCACATAAATGCCTACATCCAGAACTGTGCAAGAACAACTCTAATGATAGGCTCAAGTCTTTGTGTTTTTTGTTATCAACCAAAGGGATAAGGTCCACTCCAGTGGAACCTAAGTATGACCATGTGTGTGTGTGTGCATGTAATATGTATGTGTATATATATATTTTAAGGAAAATCATTTTTCCCTGAAACATTTTTGTAGAAATAGAAACTAGATTTCTACTGTTTTACAAGACACTCCTATATAATGCATATGTCTTAGATAAGATAAATGCATTCACCTCCCTCACTACCTAATAGATTTGTTACTCTCTCCTTTTAGTGTAAAGGAGAAAAATATTAGCTTTATTTTATTTGTAGATCATATGGCTTCATTTTCCTTTATTAGAAATTGACTAATGAAACAACTCGCCCTGTTCTTAATTACTATTAAAAATGACTTCAACTAATCTAAAACTAAAGTCATTCACTTTGGTAGATCCCGCTAACATTAACCTTCATTACCTAATATTTAATTGGCTTCACTTGATAATCCTTAAGATCCAGGCAAGCTCTCAGAAAGAGTTTTTCTTGGAGGTAACATCAGTTAGATACTCTATGGACACTTGCCTAAGGTATTTTTATGGTGAGTAGCTATTTTAAAAAATTCTTCAGGCTAAAAGATTTTCTTTCATGCTCTATAGTGTAGAATTTTGTGATTTAAATTTCTCTTTATTCCCCGAGGTTAAGTGGACCCCACACATTTTGAGAAAATTCTTGGCGCTTCCCAAGTGTCCTTTCTTGGAACATCTCTCGTAGGATAAGGTGGCCCTCTTGGGTCCCCAACTTTCATGAAGAAATAGCATTCATATTCTTTGGTTGCATATTAAAGATATATGTTTTCTCCTAGTTGAAATCTAGAATATTTACACACCAGGTACCTTTAATGGAGGTATAATTTAGAACTTAATACTTACTTGAATCTTAGTTGAGAAAAAGTCCATCCATTCTTCTAAGTGTTAGATATTCAATACATTTTATTGTATGTGTCAGCTCCAGTTGAGTCAACTTAGAGTAGCTGCCTGGCTCACTATGTTCTGAGTTCGGCAGAAAAAAAAGAAAGAGTTTTAACTAATCAGGCTATAGGAACAAGAAAGACTAACAGTTCCACACATTTTCAGATCTTGTAATGGATAACATCACAGTGTAAATCAATTTTACAGGCCCCAAATGCAAATGGGTAAAAAGTCTACGTCTATATTTTGCTAAACTATACAAATTTCTATATCAAGCCTCCACTCATGGCTGAAAACAGAATAAATTTAGATAAACTCAGTCAACTTAGAGAGATTTTTTTCTTCTTTTTCTTCCTGGTCTAACATCAATTGTTCATGTTGGATTGAGGGTGGCAGGAGGGAAGGATACTGGTATAGTCCTTGGTCATCATCTGTCCATGTTGGAAACCCCAAAAGGGGTTTTGACCCTTTGTTCATTGGCATGTTTCCATGCTGGTATCTGCAGAGGCTTCATGTTTACAAGTGTCATGAGGCCCATGCTGGTATCCACTGCTACATCCCCCAACCCCCACATCACAAGGACACTTGATGTCCACAGGTTCACTCTCTTTCATTCTCTCTCCCCTCCCCCCTCTCTTTCAACAGCCTGTACAACAGGTGAGGGTGGGAATCCAAGCCTGGCCCCAGGCCAGGGGACCTCACAGCCCATTCTCTTGAGTGCTATACTATAGCCTCTGATTTTTGATGGGAGTTCATTTAGCCTTTCCAGAGGGTATTGTGGACACATATGTTAAAGAGTTTTAAACACGTGCATAACATTTGAACCAGCAATTACCCTTCTGGATATTCTAAGAAAATATCAGATGCTCACGAAAATATTTCTGTTCAAGCATGTTCTATAAAGAATTATTTGTTAAAGTGAAAAGTTGGAAACAGCTAAAATGACCATCAGTAGACAAATAAATTAATAAACTGTGGTACATTCATATAATGGAATCCTATGCAGTCATTAAAAATAATTGAAAACTTTTGTGTTTACGAATATAGAAATATGCCCACAATGTATTCAATGGGGAAAAATATCATGTATCAGATCATTTTACCTTTGTAAAATTGTGTATCTCTCAATATATTAACAGGAGAAAAGTCTGGGAAAAGATAATATTAAATCCTAAAATTAAGAGCGGTGTTCTTAAAATCATTGATTTTATTTCTCTAAATATTTTACTATATGCATGTATGATTCATATTGGATGGGGAGAAAAAAATCTTTCTCATTTGAGGCAAAAAAATGTAGCACACGGAGATTGTTTCACCTAGATGCCATATTTTTCCCTTTCAACCATAAAATTTCATGATTTCATAGAAATAAACCTTTGTTCTGATCAAACCAGGCATTTTGCCATCCCTTCCTAATAAGCTGACTCGCTCAATTTCTCGGGATGCTGCAGGTTTATGGGACCGTCTTCCACATGAATCAGGGAAACCCATTCAAGCTCAAGGCCCTGGTGGACAAGTGGCCTGATTTTAACACCGTGGTTATCCGCCCTCAGGAGCAGGTAAGGTGCCAGATATGGAATGAACATGCTTCTCTGTTCTTATTTGCTATATGCCTACCATGCAACTGGCAATGTGGTGGGCCGTGAGGATACAGAAATGAATCACAGTGATGGTGAACAAGTGCTTGTCCTCAAGAAGCTCACAGCCTGGGGAAAGAGTAGATAAGCAAATAAATTACGACTCAGTGTGACGTGTGCAAGAACAGAAGATGTACAACATACAGAAACAGCACAGGCAAAATCTGATCAAACTCTGGAGATTAGAGATGGAGATTACAGGATAAGGTTAGAGACACTTCTTGGTGATTTCATCTGAACTGGATTTTGTAGATAAATATATTTTTATCAGGCTGATGAGGAAAATAGGATAGTCTAACCAGAGAAAACAGCAACGGCAAAGATAAGAATGTGTGAAACAGGACAGTAGGTTAGAGTGATTATAAAAAGCAAACTTATAATACTAGAATTTCCATATACATTTTGAGGAAACATTTAAAAATTAGTGAAACTAAGTAGTTAATACATTTCAAAGACAAAAATTCCTAAGCTTATTTTAAAACATCCAGTAAAATTATAAATTTATAAAAATACAAATATTATACCTTTCATAGAAATAAAAAGTTATTTAAAAACCACTAAATTAAATAACATATAAAATGAAGAAATTTAGATTAATAATAAAAAGTGAACTGAAATAAAATTATTTGATATTTTATCTTAAATGTGATCTTAAGGAATAAAATGTGTCAGTGGTATCATTGCCGACTTGTGAGTGTATTTTTGGGAAACATTTTCCAACTAGTTTAAAAAAAGGCTTCTAATTCTGCGCTAGTTGTGGTAATATTTTCCTGTGTCTCCTTCCTCCAAATAATCTCATCTGTTATTTAATAATTTGAGGAGAATTTTCTAAATAAGTGGTTTCTTTGTTTTTCTGTAACTATGGTTTGTTTAACAATAGTATTATTTTAAGACAGCATTTTTAATTGGTTTTCATCTTCTTTGGCTTCATTAAGATGGAGATTTTAATCCAGAGTTGTCTGTAACCAAATTTAATGCTGTCATGTTCATAGTTTGTGTGTTCTGTGAGTATTTGAACTGTAGTAAAATTGTTCTTGCAGCAGAAGATTTTCCTTGTCAATTGCTTTTCTCTTCTTCCTCTTGAGGGTGATGGAGGTATAGAAGAATACATTCTAAATAGTTGTGTTTTCATTTGATTTGAAATTTTAATATAATATATGGGTAGAGAACAGTATTGCTCTGCAATTTTCCATCATAAATTGAATACCGAAATCTTTCATATTGATCTCATGATTTAAATGATTCAGAAATAATCGTAAGCACCAATAAAAATACTAATATTTTAGTCATTAAAAACATCGCAATATATGGGGCCGGCCCTGTGGCTTAGCGGTTAATTGCGCGCGCTCCGCTACTGGCGGTCCCGGTTCAGATCCCGGGCACGCACCGACGCACCGCTTGTCCGGCCATGCTGAGGCCACGTCCCACATACAGCAACTAGGATGATGTGCAACTGTGACATACAACTATCTACTGGGGCTTTGGGGAGAAAAAAAAGAAAAAAAAAAAGAGAGGAGGATTGGCAATAGATGTGAGCTCAGAGCCGGTCTTCCTCAGCAAAAAGAGGAGGATTAGTATGGATGTTAGCTCAGGGCTGATCTTCCTCACACACACACAAAATAATCACAATATAATGGAATTTAGAAAAAAGTATTACGATCATAAAATATAAGGAATTTGTTTTATTCTCCTTTTCCCAATGATAACAGGAGATGACAGATGACCTTGATCACTACACCAATACTTACCAAATCTACTCTAAGGACCCCAAGAACTGTCAGGAATTCCTTGGCTCACCGGAAGTCATCAATTGGAAACAGCATTTGCAGATCCAAAGTGAGTAAGAGGAATGGGATGTGTGCTGATTTACTTCTCTGTCCTGAACAATTTCCCCTCACACATATCTTATTCCTCCAAGCCCTAGACCCTCAATCTGCTGTCAATTTTTTTACTCAGCTGCAACTATTCCTGTAAAGGGGGAAAAAACACCCTCAAAGCTTGTAAAGAATGCGTTTCATATAGGGAACCATAACATAATTCCTCGATAGCCAAGGATTTACGGCATATTTTGTAGACATAGCTAAGGTCCCTTAGGGTGATTGGGGGCCAGAGCAGAGCTTCTCCTAGGGACTTCCATTCCTGGAATAAGAATGACAACTCACCATTGAGCACTTCCCAGGTCATGAAGGACAACTGTCGTGCTCATGAGCATGTCCTCCAGGGTCAGACTCCCTAGGTTGGCAACTGCCTGTTACTTGCTATGTGATCCTAGCCAAGTGACTTATCATCCCTGAGATCATGATTTTCATATATAAAAATGGGAATGATAATGGTACCTAAAACATAGAGGTATTAAAAATGTTAAATGAAATCTTGAATAGGAATTGCTTAGTACAATACCTGGATGTTTCAGCTAACTTTTGCTGCATAGCAAACCTCATAATTCTGTGAATCAACAATTTGGGCTTGGCTTTGCAAGGCAGTTCTTCTGCTGGTCTCGTCTGGGTTTACTCATGCAACTGCAGTCAGTTGATGAGTGGACCACGGGCTGGTTGGCTTCAGCATGGCCTCACTCACATGTCATGGTTCTTGCTGTCTGTGACAGCTGTTGGCTGTGGTGACAGCATGATAGGAGCACATGTCCTCAGCAGGGGGCTAGCCCAGGCCTATTCATATCGTCTTGGTCTCAAAGTAACCAGGAGCACAAAGAGAGGTCAAACCCCAATGTGCAAGCACTTTTAAGTCTCTCCCTGCACCAAATTTACTCTTTTCAATTGCAAAAGCAAGTCATATGTTGAAGGTCAGATGCAGTGCAGGAGGGGACCATTCCAGGGAATGGATAAAAGTACATGTGAGCAAACTGTGGCCCATTACTGCAACAATCAGTCACATTGGGAGCACAGTAAGTGTTCAATAGACGTTGGCTACTACTTTTTTTATAAGTCATCTCCTTTGATCATCAAAAGCCCATAAAACTTAGTTCCAGTGCTGGTATTGCCACTAATGGCATGACTGTGGCTGAATGAATTTCTGGGCACATTTTCACTTACATAAAACAGGGAAAATTGTACAAATCCTGACTACGTGACCCCAGTCACATGGTGGTAGCACCAAGCCCCAAACCAAGGTTTTCTGCCTGTACATGCTCAGACACTTCTTACTTTACTGGAGAGCTTCTCCCTAGAATGTACTTAAATCATAGCATTTCTCCTTATAATCCTATCTAGGTTCACAGTCCAGCCTCAACGAGGTAATACAAAATCTTGCAGCCATAAAATCCTTCAAAGTCAAGCAAACACAATGCATTCTCTTTATGACACCTGAGATGGCAAAGAAACTGGCTCCTTCGCTGCTGGATGTAAAGAATTTATCACCTGACGGTGGCAAAGCCATTGCCATGTGAGTTTGATAAAAGCTACTCTGCATTATTCATACCTCTCACTGCTAAAGTTGCCTCTCAACTTCTTTCCCTGCTCTCATCTGGGCCCCTACAATCAATATTCTTCAAAGCAGCCAAAATACTCTTTTTCAAAAATGTAATTCAGACCATGTTCCTCCCCTGCTTAAAATACTCTACCATTTCCTTTCTCATCTGGAATATATCAGGCCTCTGTTGACTTCTTGGACTTCTTGTCCTTCCTACTCACTCACTCCAACAACGCTGGCCTTCATTCTGTTCCTCTGTCATCACAAGCTCACCCATACCCCAGCACTTTGTGTCTGCTCTTTCCTCTGCCTACTCTGTCTCTCAAGATGGTAGTGGTAAGAACAAATATAAACGTCCATACTCATGGACTTTGCTTTTCTGTTGGAACCTCCATAGCAACCAAGAGATGTTTAAACTCTCATCCATGGATGTTACCGATGCTGCCTTGGTGAATAAATTCTGGCATTTTGGTGGCAACGAGAGGAGCCAGAGATTCATCGAGCGCTGTATCCGGACCTTCCCCACCGTCTGCCTGCTGGGGCCTGAGGGGACCCCTGTGTCCTGGTGCCTGATGGACCAGACAGGAGAGATACGGATGGCGGGCACCATGCCTGAGTACCGGGCCCAGGGCCTCATCTCCTATGTTATCTATTCCCTGGTCCAGGCTCTGGACAAACTTGGCTTCCCCATCTATTCACACACAGACAAGGATAACAAAATTATGCAGAAAATGAGTCTCAATCTGAATCATATCCCTATGCCTTGTGACTGGAACCAGTGGAACTGTGTCCCTCTATGAAGCAGCCCTAAACAGAAAACAGTGTGGGATGGGCCTGGGCAAGTGGCTGGAGGAGCAGATGGGTAGATGGAGAGAAAGAATAAACTGTAATTGTTAAACACTTAATGGACAGTTAGACAATAGAATAAATACATATGAAGAGAAAATTTGTGAGCTGGAATGTAAATATGATAAAATAATCTAAGCAAAGAATTAAAAGAAATGGAAAATACAATAGAGAGGTTAAGAGCTTGGATATTAGTGAAATGGTTCACCATAAGTTAATAAGATTTCCAGATAGGAAAGGAGAGGGAAGGAGAGAGACAATATTCACAGAGATAATGGCTAAGACATTTCCAGAATTGTTCAAAGACATGAATCCTCAGATTTAGAAGTATGTTGATTTCAGAGAAAGAAAAATAAAAATACCTAAATCTGTACTAAAATTGCAGAACTCAAAGAAAAGATGTTAAAGGCAAGCAATGAGAAAGAAACATTACTACAAAGGAATTTTGATTCTGAAACTATATCAAATTTTGAAAGACCCCTGGCATCTTAAAGAAATATCAAACACCACCCAATACAGGGTTAGTTTTTAGCATATTTTATCTATTCTAATTCTCAGCAATCCATGCAAATCACACGTGGAAATGATAATAATCTTCCCTTTATATGTAGTATATAGTTTTTCAAAATCTCTACCACATGATGAGTTTAGCCTTAAGAATGGGACCTCAAAAATGGGCAGAGGATATGAATAGACATGTTTTTCCAAAAATTATATACAGATGACCAACTGGCACATGAAAAGATGTTCAACATCACTAATTATTAGGGAAATGCAAATCAAAACTACAGTGAGATATTACCTCACACCTGTCAGAATGGCTATAATTAACAAGATAAGAAATAACAAGTGTTGGAGAGGATGTGGAGAAAAGGGAACCCTCCCACTGCTGGTGGGAATACAAACTGGTGCAGCCACTATGGAAAACAGTATGGACATTTCTCAAAAAGTTAAAAATAGAAATACCATATGATCCAGCTATCCCACTACTGGGTATTTATCCAAAGAACACGAAATCAACAATTCAAAGAGATTTATGCATCCCTATGTTCATCACAGCATTATTCACAATAGCAAAGATGTGGAAGCAACTCAAGTGCCCATCAACAGACGAATGGATAAAGAAGACATAGTGTGTATGTGTGTATATATATATATATATATATATATATATATATATATGCGCAATGGAATAATACTCAGCCATAAAAAAGACAAAATCATGTCATTTGCAACAACATGGATGGACCTTGAAAGTATTATGCTACGCAAAATAAGCCAGACAGAGAAAGACAAACACCATATGATTTCACTCATATGTGGAAGATAAATAAACACATGGATAAGGAGAACAGATTAGTGGTTACCAGAGAGAAAGGGGGTAGGGGTAGGGTGAAAGGGGTAAAGGGGCACATATATATGGTGACGGATGAAAACTAGACTAGGGTGAACACAATACACAAACTGATATATAATAATGAAAACTTGAAATTTATGCAATGTTATAAAACAACATGACTTCAATAAAATGGTCTTTAAAAAAAGAATAAACTGTAATTGTAATCATCAGTAAAGGTGTGGATGCTGTTTGGGCTCTGGGGAAGCTGTGTGAATGGTCAGCAGGCCCACCAGCATCCCTGCACTCAAATCCATGATGGGTTCCCTTAGATATTTCAGTAGGAAGCACCTCCAGGTACCCCTGCAGTGGCCCCACTTGGTTTGGTTCCCTACACTTCCACTCTGTGACACTCCTTCATCAGCTACATGTTGCCCCACATGGCTTCTCCTGGAACGCTCAGTGCATGCTGTGGTAGAGCTTGCCAATTTTTCCAGGGAGTGATAATATTTTCTGGGCATTATGACTTATTCCACTGTCTTTCTATGGCCTTTCCCTTAGTGATAAGCAAGTGGACTTTACTCATTAGGTTCGTATAGATTATTCTCTCCTCTGATTGCTGCATTATAGGTACATTAAATATATTATATGCAAATATATATGAGATGTTACATTAAACATAATACACATGATATAACAGAGAGAGTTCTTAAGGAAAAGACTAACTGAGGTTAGCCTGTCCTCCCCCCACTCCCAGTCCAGACAAAATGATTCAATTTGTTTCTAAAAGATGAGCTTCCTAAGCCCACCCGAACCCCCAAACAATAAAGAGACATAGTGCTCGATTGTGCAAGTTGAAGTTAAGTGGCTCATGATGGGGAGAGCAAGGAATGAGTTTATGGAGAGAGGAACGTGGAAACACCCAGACCCAAGGAGGTAGATATTTATTGAGAAGAGATAGAAGTTGAGAGGGGAGGCAGTACAGCATGGTACCTACTGTTCCACTTGACCTCAGCACATTACTTAAGGATGTCTGAATCCTATGCAGGTCAGACACTTGTCTCATAGGAAAGTCTGGTTGGTGGTGTGGAAGGATATTCTTTCTGGTTGGGACGGGTTCACTAGGAGAGTTTCCTGCCCCAACACTTCAAGAGAAACAGCGCTAAACACCAGTACTGGGCAGCAAAAAGAGCACTGAAATGAAGATGATAACGTGGATTAGGAACCTGTTGCCTTGTGATCCATCTAAGCCTGGAAGTAGGCAATGAAATTGGAGATGAAGCCCCTCCACGCACATACATTCACAAATGATGGAGGTTTAATTTCTTGGCCATTCAAGAGAATGGAGGCTCAGTTTAGAGCAAGTTTCTCAACTCGGACATAACGGACATTTTAGACTGTGAAAATCTGTGTTGTAAGGCTGTCCTGTGCATTTGTAGAATGTTTAGCAGGAACACTGGCCTCTACCCTCTAGACGCCAGTAGCACTCTCTATACCAGTTATGACAACTAAAAATGTCTCCAGGTATTGGTAAATGCCTCCGGAGGCTCACCACTGGTTGAGGTTTAGAGTAGTGGTTCTCAAACTTGAATATGCATCAGAATCACTTAGCAGCCTTGTTAAAAATGATTGTGGGACCTCACCCCTAAATTTTCTGATTTAGTAGATCTTGGGTAGAGTCCTAGAATTTACATTTCTAACAAGTTTGCAGGTGATCCTGATGCTGCTGACCCAGGGACCATGCTTTGAGAACCACCAGTTTAGTGAAATAATAGAACATATTTTATTCCTTAGAACAATAGATGAAAATTCTTATCCCACATTTCTTAGGTATATTGTTTTACTTATGTAGGTATCATGTAAATTAGGGTTCTGATGGATTCATAACATTTCATTAAAAATTTTTAAAGCTTCTATAAATGCTGTCATTAAGCAGGGGAATAGGCAGACACCAAACTATCCTTTCACTACTTCCCTATAAAATCTGCTGACTAGACAACACCAGAGATGTTTTTTTAATAAAGGAAAAGAATATCTTCAGCTATTTAGTGTTATACAGAGAAGAAACAGAGACCTTTGAGTGCTAAGAATTGCCCAGTATGAATAGTCACCTGGGTTGCTTGAAATCTGATCTGGAGGATCTTTTATATTCAGAGTGACATCTTTACTCTCCTCCATGGCCCCACATTCGGGGGCACACTCTCCATCTACATTGCTCAGCACCAGCACAGCTCCCCAGTTCCTTGCCTTGAGCCTTCTTCACACCACTCCAAGATGAGTTACATCTACAATCTGGTATTCTTCAAAGTTCTTTGAGAACTAAGATAGGGACCTCAGCACATGGAAGCTGCCTTTTAATTATCTCTTTTTTTTTTTTTTTGAGCACCTTTGTCACGAGTAGGAAAGATGATATTCCTTATATTTTAGCTACACCTTACTATGTATCTGGCTGAATTAAGATCGCCATAAATGCTGTTGGTTGGGGGGAAAAAAAGCAACACAGCAGATTCAGTGTTTAACACTTCGGCGTTTAAAACAATTGTATTGCAGAAGGGAAAGAAGTGAGTGCTAATCACTAAATGAAGAATAGGGATCCATAGCCCAGTTCCTTAACACATCAAAATAACAGGCTTTCATTTCTACATGAGCACAAGCTAAGACTACCTTCCAAGAATTCTCTGTGGTCAGCAAGGAAAAAGAGGTTTTGTAACACTAAAATAGGGAGAGGGACCTCAGGCTCAGGCAAAGGAAAACACACTTGTGAACCAGCACAAGAGACAATCTCATGACATTCATGAAACCAAGAGGATATGTTATGGAACACAGCAGATGAAGGGAGAGTGGACTTTGCACTCATAAGTCAGCCAACTTCTAAAAGTCTTCTTGAAAGAAGTGCCTACATTGTAGGCATTCAAAGGAGAATGAAGTGTTTATTATACTTCAATTTGTTGAATCTTTTTCTTTGTCTACTGATATGTAGTGCTGCTTTATTATAGGGTGGCTGATTCCCTCATAAAATTCCTCCTCTGTAGAGATATGATCTATCCATTTGTTTATATTTATTATCCATTAGGCTACAAATATGCTTTCTGGGGATCATCTTGTTTGTCCTTACTGCAGGGGACCCTAGAGGGAGGTGGACATGGTAAGGGGCAGAGAGGAGGAGTCTTCCTGCTGCTGATAGCATCCTACCACAAATCCTAAGTTTATTGATTACACATATTAATGTAGTCTTCAAGGATTCTGGCAACAAATGAACTGTTTTTAAATACTAGGTAATTCTTGTAGTTTCAATAAACTGATCATTTAAAAATTATACATATGGTAAATCTAAATTTTATTGGCTCTTCTAATATCGAAGCAGAACCTCAAGAACTATAAAAAATTATGAATATAAATCAATTACCCAATTATACCTTTTAAGTTGGATTTAAGGGTTATTATTCTAACAGGCAAATTCTTTCACACATTAAAAGAATGTGAAATACTAAATTTCTTCACTCAAAAATATTTGTATTCCTCTAAAACAGTAGTTCTCAGCCAAGAGGAATTTTGTACTCCAGAGGACATTTGGACATGTCTGGGGACATTTTGGTTGAGACAACTTTGGGAGGTGGTGCTCCTGGTATCTAAAGGGTGGAAGGATGCTGCTAAACATCCTAGAATGCACAGGACAGCCCCTCATAGCAAAGAATTGTCTGACC